GTAAGTGATTTCTGTGTCATGATTTTCTAATAATGCAAATCAGGTTTTTACGCATCAGCAGGGGAGGTAACTCCCATGCCCCTTTGGAGATTCTTATCTTAAATAGGCTTCTGAGGCAATGATGGGATTACTGATAAATTAGTTGTATTACCTTTAGTCATCCCAGGTGTGTCTGCTATTAAAACTTTTTTGGGAGGAGAGTGTGATCAGTGCTTCTGCAAGTGTCTTTGTGATGAAAAAGAAATTTTTTTTTTCGACTTAAAATTTTGGGCTTTAATTTCTTGAAAAATATAAAATGAACTTTATAAAAGGTGGAGAAATAATAATATAGGATATTTTTGTTATCTCAAATTATTTAAACTTGTCAAGTATACTTATTTCTTGTTTGTTTAATTTTTTGAGGAAAATAGAAATATATTAACAATTTATTCTAAGGAATAAGATGAAAAAAACTTTAGATTGAAACTTTGTGATAATTGAGAGGAGAATTTTGTTTAATTGTGACTTGAGGGGAAATTATCTGATAATAAAGGGCCAGTCTGGGAATTGTCAAAGACAAGGTTTTGACATACTATCTTGAGAGGGGCTGTTCAAAAGATTACCTTAATCATTATATTATACGGCCATTATCTTCAAGTGCCAGTAGATAATAATTTAGCAGATGTAAAAGGTAGTGCAAAAGAAAAAAACGTTTGGTGTGTTGGGAAATTTATAGACTTATAATACAAAGAAGGGAATTCAGCTCTGATAAAAAGACTTGATAAAAAACTCATTGAGGATTTATATGAAAGAATTTACTTACTGTGAGGAATTTCAGAAATTGCATTTTTGTGGATAAAAGGAAAAATTTTCTGACTGTAGGCATCAAAACATCCCCAATTCTGTGTTGAAATTATGGTGAAAGTAATTATTTGAAAGGAGTAAAACACTTGAAAATAAAGTAAGGAAAGAAAATATATTTTCATAAAAGAAAGGAATTCTGTAAAAATGAATGGAGATACTGAAGTAATGGAACCTGTTGCCGTGCCAGTTGCTAGGGGGCAAGCTCCCTCCCCTTGTAAGTCCCCATGGTATGGGACCTATGTCCGTAGACTTAGTGTTTCTAAAGAGGCAGGAAAAGGAATGAATGTTATGGATTTATATCCTTATTCAAATCCAGGTAACATTTTTACTTACTTGACTAGAAAAATACATTTCTTGTGATAAATAGCAAGGTAAATAACTCACTTTTATGAAATGTCCAAAAAATATTTTTTAAAAGATTTAATGATATTGACTTGTACATGTTGTGTGACAGTATAATACAGTAAAATACTGTTCATTAATAAGGTAGTTGTGATTGCAAACCAGCTGTCACTAGCTAGCTCAGTCAGTAGAGCTGCATAACACTGTTGACTGAGGGTTTTGGGCTTGACGCCCATCCAACGCCCAGTTAACCAGGCACATTTTTATCTATATTTCACTTTTTATATGTGTTGTTTCATTTGTGTGAACAGTATTTGTTAGATGAAAGGACAACTTGACGAAAGTTGTGCCTTAGGCTACAAACTATGACCTTCCCTTAAAAATGTTCAAAATTTACATCTTGAATCCCTTTCTCAGGGCTCTTAAAACTACAGTAGTGGCAAAAACTTATTCTGCATGTATATAAATTTTTGTAAAGAATATGAAAAAGGAATAATTTTATTGGAATCAAGGATTGTACAGTTTATGAAACAATCATCAGGAACAGGTTTGCAGATAGAAACTGTGGTTAACACGTTGGAATATCAAACAAGACAAGAGGAGGGATACAGTCAGCATATGAACCAGTATTTTTGAGTCACAAATGATTTTCTCATTAACCTCTTGCAATTAAGTGCAGTACAATTTCTTCTTTTGGATGACTTCTTGTCTTGTTTTGTTTAAGGAGCACTTGAAAGCATCTAATGTTTTAGTATAATAGCCCATTATTTTGCTTGTTACATGCAAAATTAGCTTGTCAGAAAGGTAAAAGCAAAACAGTCACATTTTTTCGGCTTTTGAAATTGGTGTACCGGTATGTTATAATCCAAAAGTACAAGAATATTTTTAAAATCTATGGAAAATAAAAATTCCCTGTTGTGTAAACAGGAAAGTTATATATGTTGAAACATATAAGAAAAATTTCTCTGGGATAAAAATTTTGTGGTATTTTATCAGCGAAAGTTGGCCAAATAGTTTTGCCTAGGTAGTAGAAATACTTTACTTGCCATTCAGTTTACCTTTAGGTGGATGATATATGTTGTGATAAATCTTCTACTAAACAAGTTCAATAGACTTTAATGGTACAGTTTTACAATGTTTGTTATGACTTATCTAGTAAATTGACAGTAAGAAATCATTTCACTGACAGCAATTATCTGCCTTTTGGGTGTCCTACTTCATAACCCTTGTCATTGGCTGGTTTCATTGCTGTTTAAATATCTGCAAGAACAGACAAGGGGGGGGGTTCAAAAGTTACCATGTAGATGTTATTATCTTTAAGGCTGGTTATGGCAAGATATTTACTTGATACAATGTAGATAATGGTACATTTAAGATCACTCTCATGTTTTATTCCTTTTTAGCTTGACTTTTCAAGGATTATTCTCTTCAAACTAAACAAGTAAAGACATGTCTTTGGTGGCCACTATCCAAGGCCTTTAACTTTGAATTGGATTAAGACTGAATGATAGCCCTTGTGAATTTAGATATTTTTTGTTAAAAGTTTTAGATGCAACTTCAGTCTTTAGAACTACTGTAGCTATTCTTGTGAAACTTAATACATGTCTTTGCGCCCATAGCTCTGATATGGAATTTTACTGAGTTATGACCCTTAGAAAAAGATCCTGGTTCAAGTTTGCAACATTAGTCTTAAAAAGTACTGAAGGTATTCATTTACAATTTAATACATGTTTTTGAAATTATAATTGAAGGTCAATTTCCAAGACCCATATTTTAAACGAAATTTTGCTTGTTGTCTGAACTTGCAAAATTCTGAGATCAATTATCCAAGGCTCAGAACTCATAATGTCATGAATTTGGAATGAAATGTTAGTCTTTGTTATTCATACAAATCTTAATTAAGTTGCTCATTTGCTTGCGTCTTATGTGCAAAGGGACATCTATTGACGTCATCCAAAGCCAAGATCCTGGGAAAAGAAGGACAACATAAGATAATGTTTCATTGATATAATATGTTAAAGCTTAAACTGAGAGGTTAGATATAAAGAAAAACTTTGCACAGTTGTTCAATACAAGTTGTATTATTTCAATTAAACTGTATTGACATATGGTACCATATGTTTTCTCCCAAGTGTTTAGTGTATGTTCAATGTAGTTTGTATAACAGATATATAAGTAAAGACAAATGTTGTACAAGAAATCTGTCAGTGTAGGTATGTTCTTTACTCATTTTGTCATATATATGTAGTATATATGACAAAATTATACTCTCCACATTTTGACAATTATGTAATGTATGACTCTATCAGTCATGTCAATTCCATTTATCTATCTTGTTTTAATAACAAAAAGAGTCTGTAATCATTTTATTTTCATTTCTTATTTGGAGTCTGTAGTCTTTGTATTATAAATTTCTTATTTGGCGATGCTTTGGGAAAAATAAGGCTCTAGATTAGTTCTTCATTATTTATTACTCCTTTGTCTATAATTGAAGAGGAGAAGTTGTACATTAACATAATGATGATAAATCTTGCTATAGATTTTAATTTGCTTATCAGTGTTCTAGGTATAGTGTTGGAGGTCTGTAACATTTGTTTTTAAATGGTTTATGATGTTATCTAGTAGGTAAGGTAGTGATTGTAATCATTTGTTTGACCAGCTGCCCTATCATTAGATACTACAGTTACTGTTTCTTGTATCTGCCTGTCTGTCTTCACTGTATGGTCAGGTACTATCTGTATTGTATTTTATCATGATCTAATCTTAACTTTGATGATTTCATTATTGTTGTATTTTCTCATCTCTGGTTAAAGTCAGGCTTTAAGTAGAGGTAGTGAATGGTAGATGTCAGTGTTCTACTATATTTGTCTCTGGTCTTTTATATAGATATTTGTTGTAAAAGAAATTCGCAATAATGACCTGTCTATGCTGCGACCAGCCTGCACATCAATGCAGTTTGCGACTTGATTCTATACTGTTAATTTGTTGGCCGCTCAAGTTTAGCATTTTATTTTGAAACCCCTTACAATGACTATGGACAGTTCCAAGTTCATAATTGGGCAAGTCCATTATAGTATTGTATTTGTGTATCCATTAACCCTTCAATTTGCTGAATTTGTTTGATAGACTTTCCCATGTTCCATATCTGAAAGCATCCATTATCAGTTTTTGGGATATCAAGAGGAAAATTTGTAGAGCATAGTCAGACTATATGGAAGTGCAAGCTGGCCTGGCTCAATACTAGTGGCAAAGGCTAAACACTTTCAGTTCTAGCAGATTATGGCTTATAATACATTGTAGTGATGGAGTCAGTATAATTTCTTTGACTGACCATTAGTTCTGATATTTTACTCCATCAATTCATATGGATGATTTTATCTTGGAACTATATTATTATGTCTGTCATTCATTAATCATAAAAGTCATGAGAAGTTCAGGCCAAGTTCCTCCTGTTAAGTGTACTCAGAAAATATTTTGTAAGATAGTAAGTTTTTCACTGTGAATGAACTCTCAAGAAACATACCATAGTTATGATATGACATGAATCATATGAAATTCTTCTGGAGTTTGTTACACCTTCATTGTTGACTATAATACTTGTCTCAGAATGCTGTACATGTATTGCTGTCTTAAAACTCAGTATGTTATTTGAATTCATATTAACATTTTGAAACCTTTCGATTACTAGTTAGATGTCAGCTGGGGTTTTGATATAAATGACAAAATATACATCTGGAGTAGTGTCCCCTTGCACCAGTAACAGTTTTTTTACAGTTTGTATATGCAATAATTTGTTTTCTTTGTTTTTTTTTCAGAAAATGCCTTGAAAGTTAATGGCACAAGGTAAGAATAGTTTTGCAATAACTGGACAATTAAAATTAAAATCTTAAAAAAAGTAATTGGAAAATGTAATCTAATAAATGTTTTATAGGGCAATATGTTTAATTTGACTTTTGGTGAAGATTTGGATCACACTTTGATACATTATGATACTTTAAAAACCTATATAATTATGCATGATTGTAAACAGTACATCAAGCTCGTGTTAATTAAAAGTTCATACCCAATCTTGGGCTGACCTGTACCGGAGTTATATGATGAAAGATTGACTTGGCTGCTGTAGGCTTTGAACTCTCAGACACTGAGATTAGAGGCAGGCACCTAACCGCTCAGTCTTTGCTCCTCTAATTATTACTAAAGAAGATAGTTTAGATCTCTGAATTTGAATAGCTTACCCAAGCCTTACTATTGTAGATTCTAAGTTAATTTTTAGCTCAACTTTTCGAGGAATAGGGAGAGCTATTGTACTCACCCAGGCGTATGTGTCGGCACCACAGTTTGGTTAAGTTTACGCATGCAAGTTGTTGTCACGAAAATTGCTGAAGGGAATGGGTTGAAACTTTACACACTTATTTTGGAGCGTAATAGATAACTGTACAAGGCCCATTACTCTAATGTGGATTTTGACAGAATAATGGCCCCTTTTGAACTTTTACATTGTCCCGGCTCTTGTTTCACTATCAAGTATCAAGCACTGAGAAAGCAGCACTTTGTCCTACCAATAGCTCTTGTTCATGTGAGGAAGCTGTCCTGCTTTCTGAAGGAAGTAAACTGTTTAACCAAGGTGTTGAAAAGTGCCCAAGGTGCCTGTTATAATTATAATGTAATGTAAGTGGTTTCATCAACAATAAGTAGCTGAAAAAGTCACTTTGTAACCACAATAATCTTGATCAACATTGTAAATCAAAAATGATTGAAAAATCTTGAAAAAAAAAACATATTGATATATAAATTATCATTTGACATTTTTCAGTGAGGTCAGTGAAAATGGGATATCGGAGGAAGAAGCGGTGAGAGATCCGAATATATTTCGGGAGACCCGCGAGAAGGAGGAGGTATACATTCTGATGATCTGGTCACATTTTTGTCATGAAATTTCATCAAATTTTAGAAAGTGGGAGCTTGAAAATTTGTGATTGGGTTTTGGTTTAATCAACAAAAAAGATTTTTTTCATTTCTTTAAGTACTGATAGAGGAATTTTTTTTAATCACAAACAGATAGAATAAAGGGATTTTTAGTGGGGGAAAATGAGATTTTTGTTATTATAAAGTTATAAAAATAAATTGAATAGGTGCATCTTTTAGAGTCTTTTTTATCAATTTATAACCATAATCATTTAATTGATCAATAAATGTACTTATTTTAGTTTTATAAATGATTTCAACATGATATTTTCACTAGTGCAAACTCGTTTTCAAATTGGTACATCTCGGTTAGAAATCGAAAGAAGAAAAAATAGTCATGTAGATTTTATTTGTGATGTCATTATTGGCTAATTCCCCCTCTGATTTCATACATATCAAGTTCAATGATTATAACTTTAATTGCCAGAAATGATGAAATTATTATTTTAGAAATTTTTTTAAATTAAATTTGATCATGTAAGACATTTTAAATTTCATGTGGATAATCTCAAAAAAATGACTAATTTCAAATATATTTTTCACTTTCAATATCTGAATTATTTTTATGATATTCTTAAGTGAAATACTCATTTTTAAAATCTATAATTTTTTGTGTAATAATTTATATCAAAAATAAGCAATATGTGTACATATGTATGTATGTAATAATATAAAATTATGAGAGTTTCATTTGTACAAGACCAAGGGATCTTCAGTATGTACATTTCGACCATTTACCTTGCATGCTTAATAATGAATGGATGTTGTGATTTTACTTTCTTTTTTTGTATTTTCGGTACAAGTTACTAAATCTAATACCATCTGTCTATCTCAGAAATGAGCTAGGTTAACATTTGCTGTCAAGATTTTAAGCTCTGAAAATACAGCATGGCTGATATGAGCACAGAGTCTTCAGAGCTCTGATAAACAAATCCAAGCCTTGGGTGGTTTATATTTTTTCCAGCGACAATTTTGGTTGAAGACAATTTGTATGTGTGTAACATCAGTTATCAATGGACAATCTTGACCGTTACAATTATTATCTATAAACATGACTGATGAAAATTAATGAGTCAATTTTGTTTTAATAATACTAAATATCTTAATTGAACATGTCCAATTTTGAATTTGGACTAAAACCATTCATCATTTTTATGGGAAATTTCAAAATGTGTGCTGACAGAATAGCAACCAGTGCAGATCAAAATTGTAAAACATGGATGTGCTGGCTGATCTTTGTCAACACTGGTTGCATCAGGGTAGCTTGAGTGGTTGCCAGCTGGCTAAAGGCTAAAGCATTTGTATGTGTAACACTTTAAAAAAAGTTATAAAGAAATGTGTGGCCATTTGTAAAGATTCAGTACATAACAGCCCAAAATAGAAACAGGAATTTGTGTTATTTCAAAAGTACGAGGGTTGTCCCAAAAGTCCGTGACAAATTTTATAGCCGGTTCATTTTTAACGCCAACAGAAAATAATTCACACATATAACCGTTAAGTTTATTATTTAACATTACAACAAATCATTTACAAAAAATTTACCCTAGTTACTTAGAAATTTTCAGTATTAACGACATTGGTTTGAGTTGCCGGCGCACGTCAAATAATTTACATTTTGTTATGAATAGGTTGAAATTAATTACGTATATTTCAAATATCTGATGATGTGTCTGCACAATGTCACGTTGACTTCCTCTGCTGCTATGTTTAAATCATCTCTGAAAATTTTAGTTAAATAACTTAAAAAACGAAAAAGATACGAATAAATGAAAATATCTCATATAAAATAGGAAAGTAAAAATGGCGACGTTCGAAGAATTTGCGGCGCAGTGAACAGGTCACTCAGGTTTCATGACTATTTCGAGATGACACATGTAACGATTTACAACAAATATACCAAATATAACAGTTTAGCAACATATTCTGAGCATTTGTGTACAAAAGGCATGAACGGAACCAGAGTTTTGCGCTACAAAAAGCGAAAATAAGCAAAACACGGATAGGAAGACCGATCTTCGTCGCCTATTTCCTACAGCTAAAAACAGGAGAAACGAGACCGGAAGTTCGCGTATAGCAAAAGTTAATGTATGCCATCCAAACATTCAACAGATATTAACAAGCACATGATTTAAGTCAGAAATTGACGATTTATGGGTACCATTATTGCGTTGAAAGCCATTAAGAGTATTTGAGAAAGGCGCCTTATATAGATTTAACGCCGTCTTTGACGTTGGACGTGCGCCGCGATTCAGTTAGTTGCCATGGTGTTTATTGCATATTTTTGTTGTTTGTTGATATTTATCTATGAAAATTTGTGAAAATGTTTAAATCATATGGGTTTATAACATATTAAAATATCAAATTCGTACCTTTTTAGTCCCCTACCGGTTTAACCGGAGGGGACTTTAGGTTTACCCTCCGTCCGTCTGTCCGTCTGTCTGTCCGTCTGTCTGTCTGTCTGTCTGTCAGTCCGTCAGTCCGTCCGTCCACAAAACTGGATCCCGCGATAACGCTAAAAGTACTGAAAATATTTTTATGAAACTTGATATATGGATAGATGGCAGTATGGAGATTATGCACGTCTTTTTTTTTTCTTCCTATGTTGAAAATTCTGGTTGCTATGGCAACAAATAGTCTGAAAATATGGCAAATTTAACACATAAACTGGATCCAGTGATAACTCAAAAAGTACTGAAAATATTTTTATGAAACTAGAAATATGGATAGATGGCAGTCTGGAGATTATGCACATTCTTTTCTTTTCTTCCTATTTTGAAAATTCTGGTTGCTATGGCAATAAATAGACTGAATTATAAGATTTCTGATTCTATCTTTTACGTTTTTTCACTATAAGTTCTTTATTTCTTAAGATATTTTCTTCAAACTTTAAATAGAAGTTTCTTTTCATCAACCACATCATATGTGACAAGGTTTATAACTCTAGCAAAAAAATTATCAGTATTACCTCCCTTGAACTTAGATTTTTTAGGGGAAAAAATGTTGTCTTTTTTAAATAACTTCTTTATTTCCTAATGTATCTACTTCAAACTTCATATATATGTTTCTTATTATCACTCGACATTTTTGAGAAGGTTAAATACTCTAGCAAGACTATTTCCAAAATTATGTCCCCCTTGAACTTAGATTTTTTTCGAGAAACTGGTATTTTCACTCCAACTTCTTCATTCCTTATAGGATTTACTTTAAAATCCCACATCGTAATAATATGACAAGGTTGTATAAACATAATTTCCTTACTAAGCATGGAAACTTAACACATTACTGTGATATAGACAAACTTATTTTATTATGTTTTGTGGTTGATATTTTCAAATACAGACTTCATCCTCAAATTCATTATAAATGGCAATACACAGGAGTGTATGACAATTAAAGAACTTTTTGAGGGACCGGTAGGGGACTACTGTATTGCCCGCAATACTATCAAATGCTTGTTTTATTTAGCTTTTAATCAATCTTGTCACAGAATATTGGGACAACCCTCGTATATTTAGTTTTTTATGCTCCCCGAAAAATTTCGGGGGAGCATATAGTCGGCGCCTTGTCCGTCTGTCCGTCTGTCCGTCCGTCTGTCCGTCCGTTGTCTTGTCCGGAGCATAACTTGAAAACCCTTGGAGATAATTTGTAGAAACTTCATACAGTGGTAGAGGGCATCGAGGGGGAGTGCAGTGTCAAAGAACCATAACTCTATTTTGCCCGGTTTTTGAATTATCTCCCCTTATAGAAAAATCTTGTCCGGGGCATAACTCTAAAACTATAAGAGATATCAACATGAAACTTTGTAGGTGAATAGATCTCAATGGGTAGATGTGCAGTGCATAAGAACAATAACTCTTTTCATCCTAATTTTGGAGTTATTGCCCTTTGTTAATTTTAATACTTTGAACTTTGTCCGGAACATAACTTGAAAACCCTTGGAGATAATTTGTTGAAACTTCATACAGTGGTAGAGGGCATTGAGGGGGGGTGCAGTGTCAAAGAACCATAACTCTATTTTGCCTGGTTTTTGAATTATCTCCCCTTATAGAAAAATCTTGTCCGGGGCATAACTCTAAAACTATTAAAGATATCAACATGAAACTTTGTAGGTGAATAGATCTCAATGCGTAGATGTGCAGTGCATAAGAACAATAACTCTTTTTGTCCTAATTTTGGAGTTATTGCCCTTTGTTTATTTTAATACTTTGAACTTGAACTTTGTCCGGAACATAACTTGAAAACCCTTGGAGATAATTTGTTGAAACTTCATACAGTGGTAGAGGGCATCAAGGGGGAGTGCAGTGTCAAAGAACCATAACTCTATTTTGCCTGGTTTTTGAATTATCTCCCCTTATAGAAAAATCTTGTCCGGGGCATAACTCTAAAACTATAAGAGATATCAACATGAAACATTGTAGGTAGATAGATCTCATTGAGTAGAGGTGCAGTGCAAAAGAACCATAACTCTGTTAAGCCTTATTTTTGAATAATCTCCCCTTTTAGAAAAATCTTATCCAGGACATAGTTGTAAAACTATAAGAGATATCAACATGAAACTTTGTAGGTAGATAAATCTCAATGGGTAGATGTGCAGTGCACAAGAATCATAACTCTACCTTGCCTAATTCTGGAGTTATTGCCCTTTGTTTATTTTTACTTTTTGAATTGTCCAGGACATAACTCGGAAATCATAAGAGATATCATCAAGAAACTTTGTAGGTTGATAGATCACATTGATTAAAGTGCAGTGCAAAGAACTGTAACTCTGCCTTGCCTAATTTTAGAATTATTGCACTTTGAACTTTTTCCACGGACATAACTCTGAAACTATAAGAGGTGTACTTTCCTGTGTCCAAAACCTATTCGGGGAGCATCACACGGCTCAAACCGGGCTCTTGTTTTACCAAAGAGAATGAAAAGGGAAAATTCTGAAAAGGGAAAATACAAAGATTTCAATCACAACAAAATCCATCATTTGAACTTACCCTTAGCTTTCAGCTTTTACTTCAAATTAGATATTAATCTCTTTCTAGGAATATAAGCTTCATTGCTCTATGAAAATACAAAGTTTATAGAGATGACATTAAATAAGAAATATATGAAAAGTTATTTATTTTTCATCACCCAGCTCAGCATTTCTTTCCAAAGACTTCATTTGAAATTATTTTGTTAAGACTAGGTTGACATCAGGAAACTGCTTCAATAACAAATTACATATGTCAGACTTTGACTTTATCTATGATACCGGTAATTTTTTTGTAATGAATAAAAAAAACCTTACTAGACACCACTTGATTTTCTTTATTTATCATTAAACTAGTATACATGTCATCTTTCAAGAGATTTCTATATTAACATGCGATGGTAGTGAATAGCTCTATTCACTTCAATAATGATAAGATTTAAGTTCAATAACAATTTATTTAATATAGATAGGGCTTAACTACCTTGTTTTTAGTTTCATGTTGTTTGTAATCATGTAGAATGTAGATATTTTGCTTTGAATTATGCATTACACTTTAACCTGTTGTAAAGATGTTTCACTGTATAAAGCTTTCTTATTACCTTTTTTGTTTGTCACTGCACACCAGCATTCTTATTGCACAAACTACTGCACTTTGTCACTTTAGTGCAGTAACGGATTAACTCCTGGAGCTAACCTGTGAGTGCACTAAGGTGACAACTTGGTTCAACAAGAGCTACAATATCAGTCAGCTTTAAAGCTACAATAAAGACTTACCTAAGCCACCTGTATAAAGCCAGGCCAGCTTGTATCTTACTGCAGTTGTACCAGAGACTACATTATAAATGGCTGCTTAATTATGTCTCCCCCACCTCGGGGGGAGACATATTGTTTTTGCCCTGTCCGTCCGTCCGTCCGTCAGTCCGTCCGTCAGTCCGTCCGTCCGTCAGTCCGTCCGTCCGTCCATTCTTCGTTTCCGGACGATAACTAGAGTTCCTTTTGACCTACAGCTCTCAAACTTCATAGGATGAATGGTCTTATTGAGCAGATGATCCCTATTGTTTTTGGGGTCAGTAGTTCAAAGGTCAAGGTCACAGTGACCGTTGGTCAATTTCTCGTTTCCGGATGATAACTAGAGTTCCTTTTGACCTACAGCCCTCAAACTTCATAGGATGATTGGTCTTATAGAGCTGATGATCCCTATTGTTTTTGGGGTCAGTAGGTCAAAGGTCAAGGTCACAGTGACCGTTGGTCAATTTCTCGTTTCCGGATGATAACTAGAGTTCCTTTTGACCTACAGCCCTCAAACTTCATAGGATGATTGGTCTTATAGAGCAGATGATCCCTATTGTTTTTGGGGTCAGTAGGTCAAAGGTCAAGGTCACAGTGACCGTTGGTCAATTTCTCGTTTCCGGATGATAACTAGAGTTCCTTTTGACCTACAGCCCTCAAACTTCATAGGATGATTGGTCTTATAGAGCAGATGATCCCTATTGTTTTTGGGGTCAGTAGGTCAAAGGTCAAGGTCACAGTGACCGTTGGTCAATTTCTCATTTCCGGATGATAACTAGAGTTCCTTTTGACCTACAACCCTCAAACTTCATAGGATGATTGGTCTTATTAATCAAATGATCCCTATTGTTTTAATGGTCAGTAGGTCAAAGGTCAAGGTCACAGCGACCGTTGGTTAATTTCTCCTTTCCGGATGATAACTAGAGTTCCTTTAGACCTACAACCCTCAAACTTCATAGGATGATTGGTCTTATTGAGCAGATGATCCCTCTTGTTTATGGGGTCAGTAGGTCAAAGGTTATGGTCACAGTGACCATTGGTCATTTTCTCATTTCCGGATGATAACTAGAGTTCTTATCAGTGAGGACATTTAACTATTATTGATATATCAGTGATATATCAGTTGTCTGGTTTTATATACTCTGTTCTTTTATCTCCATTTCCATTCCTGTTTCCATTCACAGTTATTCTCAGCAGTGGGGGAGACATGCGCTTTTTTACAAAAGCATCCTCTAGTTTTTAAAAATTTTATGAAAATCTTTCACATTTATGTTTGACAGTAAACAGTAGTACAAGCATACATCTTACATACTAGCATAGTAAATCTTGTTTTGTTTTGAAAATCTCAGTTTTAGGCATTATATCTGACGTTTTCTCATTCGCACTCAAAACAAGTTAGTTCAGGAACACATTTTTATAATCTGTCTAACAATATGTAAAGTAATGGTTAAAAAGTAACAAAACAAAACAAACAATAAACAAAAGCAAAAAGCATTAAAGAACAAAAGCAAATCTCAAGAAATTGAATGACCGTTACTTTATTAATCATGCCTTTCAATGCTATGTATTTGAGCTTTCATTTTGGATCTTTAATTTTCAAACCTAAGGATGTAAGCCATTCAGACAGCTCCATGGAATGGCTACACCAAAATGCTTGTGCTTTATATTTGTTTAGAGAAAATTTTGTCTATTGTGGTCAGAATAACAAGAATAGGTAAAACATTTGTCAGTTTGATTTCATGTAAATAATCTGCTACATGGTTGCATGTTAAATGGAACAATATTGTCATTGCTTATTTTATTTTTATGTTTGATACTAAATTTTGTTGATGAAATGCTAAAAGCAATTTCTTGCAAGAAGTACCACTAATTTAAGTAGTAAAGGCTGCAATTTGAAATTTCTTTTTCACTTCTCTCTTAGTTTCAAATTTTCTTCATAGGTATATTAAATGTTAAAATAATGAATTCATAATTGAAGTCCATACTAAGCTTATCTATATATGTATAAATAATTTTAAATATAATATGTACAATACTCATTGAATATTTCTAAGGCATTCAAAAGTTTATTCTAAGACTGTAATTTTCCTCCTTTTTAAACTCTTTTTATACCTTTTCAGGTACATTTTGCTGAGATGAACAATGTTCGTGAAAAATTTGAATCTGGAGGAAAGAAGGATGATGAGCCTTCACCACGTAGGGTAGCGGTCAAAGATGAGTATGATGAAGGAGGAGAATTTGAGAACGAGCCGGTTCCCAACCCTGATGTCATTAAGGAAACCGACCATCCTAAAGAGGAATTACCAGAAATCGGAACTGCTAAAAATCTTGTGAATCGTTTCAAATCTATACAAGAAGAAAAGGCAAAACCTGTAGCTAGTGGCAAAAGAATATCTCCTCCTCGTGACTCGGAAAAAGTAGAATATGAGAGTCAGCCCACAGAGCATTTACCACAGTATGAAGGAAAAACCGATTCCGGTGTGTTTGAAAGTGAACCAAAAGGTCATGAAGATGTGATAAGGTCAGGTGATCAAGCAGAGGATTACAAACCAGAACAAGGTTATGCTAAAAACATTATGAACAGATTCAAAGAGATTCAGACAGAATCAAGTCAGTATAAACCCCATGAAAAGCGTGAAATAACACCAGATAGGTCTGGTAAAGTAGAATATGTAAGTGAACCACGCGGTGAACATATAGTTTATAATGAAACACAGACTGAAGCTGGTGTGTTTGAAAATGTGCCAAAAGAGGAGGAAGATGTTGTTCGTTCCGGTGAAAAAGCTGATGAGATTTTACCAGAAGTTGGTATGGCAAAGTCACTTCTTTCAAAATTCAAGCAAATGGAAACAGAAGTTGGTCACAGGCCACCACCCTCACCAAAAAGGGAGACACCTAAAAAACCAGCAGAGTTTGTCAATTCTCCAAGAGGTTACCTTGAAAGATATGAGCCCACAACAGAAGCTGGTGAGTTTGGAAAAACCCTTTGCGAAAGAGGGGAATTAGTTTTCGTCAGGGGGGAATTTTCCCAAAGAAAAAGTATTCCAGAAGTAAAAAAGGCAAGAAAAAAAAAGGGGGAAAGGTTTTTAAAGGATCCCAAAAAACGGGCCCCAAGCTCACCTGCCCCAAACCCAAAGGAAAAAGGAAAAAACCCCCACCTAGAGAACCCAAATTTCCTTTTGGCAAAAAATGTTACGGGTTTTATTCCCCAAAAAACACACCAGAAGAAAGAGATAAATTTAATAAAGGTCTGGTGAAGCTCGCCCAAATGAATTCCCAGAGCAAGGAAAAAACTGGAAAACCCATTAAAAAGGGATTTAAAGAAAATCCAGACTAGGGGGTTTTCACAGTCTATTTTCCCCCTGGTAAAAAACCCCAAAAGGATTAAACACCCCCCACCAGGCCCTGGGGTTTAAAGGGAAAACAAGCCTAAAGAACATTTAGTTATTGAAACAAGGCAATCGGAAAGTGGTATATTAGAAAGCACACCACAAAAGTCAGTGGCAGACGTATCTAGAGAAAGAGAGGCAACTCCAGAAACTGAATTGCCAGAGCAAGGGTTTGCGAAAAACCTTGTTTCACGTTGGAAACAACTAGAATCAACTTCCAGTAGTGCCAAATCAACATCATCCACATCTCCTAGGTTTAAGGAATTTACACCACCAAGGGATAGTAGGGGTCCAATGAGTCCAAAATCGCCTGCAGGTGTTACAAATGGCGTACATCCAAGCGAGCTTCCCGGACAATACCAGCCCCAGGAATCCACCGTCATTCATGAAAACAAACCAGAAGTTAAACAGGATGTTTATCGTGAGGCAGATACCGATTGGACAGAAGGTATGCCAGCACCAAACACAACATCTTCCATCCTTCAAAGGTTCAAAAGTATTCAAGAAGAGGCAAAGGAAAGTCAAAAAACTCCTGAACCAATTCACAAAAAGGTGAGTTTTTAGATTGCTATCTATATTTATATATATATTTTTCACCAGATGGAATAGTACATGTTTGGATTTATTTTGCTTAGTTTTCAAGGTGGAATATCTGTTATAAAAAGTTGTATATCACTTATGTTTGCTTCATTTGTCTGCTTGTAATTCAATGTAGCTATCCAGTCTTTAGATGACAGGGAAATAGAAAAGGAAGTTGTACTTACCTTATGAAAAAATTTGAATAAGTATTATTTCATCTGTTCAAATAAAAAAATATTGAAACTCTAGAAAGACTTGCATGGAAAATGCATGTACTTGAATGATTGGAATTCTAATTTTAAATTCCATTTTGTAAGAAAAGTCAAATGTTAACAACAACAGAAAATGCATTGAATTTAATAACCGCATGTATGCATGCAAGTTAATGTTGATTTTTACCTTTACCTAGATCAAGTTATACTACAATGTTTCATTACTTAGAATTACTTGTGGCTTAAGGCAGTAGCTAAAATTTTTGAAGGCAGTCTATTTGTCTACATTTTATAAAAGCATAGAAGAATTTTGTGATGAGCTTTCAGAATGCTTTTGTAGTTTACCTCCCAACATATAGAATGCTCTTTTCATTTCTTTTTCAAAGGATAAAAGAAAGGTTTGCATTTGATACATTTTATCTCCTTGTTCTATGAATTTAGCCACGCCAATATAAGGGAGACCACCAATGTTCTCCTATTTCATGCTTGTCTCAGTTACCTCCCTTTATATATTCTCTAACTTGCTCAGCACACTGAAATTGAAGATATTGTAAAGCAACACTGCACTTGTGTATATTTTTAGGTTAAGTATGTACAATATTTTATCAATTCACTGCACTCATAATGATATATTTTTACTTGAATAGTATAGAAGTTTTGTATGCTGTACAATGTACATAAACTGCTCTTTCCGTTGTAATGTTCTTGTGTCACGAAATTGACACATGCTATGTTGATTGTGTCAGAAAAAACTCAGATTAAATTAGACCATGTGTTTTTCATTTGTTGGTAGATACATGCCAGAATTGATAGAGGTTTTCTTGTAAATGCCTATGAATAGCAGAAATCTACAGTATTTTACCATGGTTATTTTGTAACTTAGTGGTTTTGTCTGTAAAGAAGACACAAAGAAAAGCAATGCTTTTGAAGTTGAATTCAGTTAAATAAAGAAGTTTATTTTTTTGCAAAATTCAAAATTGATGCATTTGAGTTTATATGGATCTTATGTTTATTTTTGCATTACACTATTTGAGACACTACTATTCGAATGAGATCATGTCGTAAATTATATTTTTTGTGATTCTTAGCTCATGATTTTCAATGGTGTTCAATCCTAGTTTCGTTCAATTGAAGTTTATTTTTGTGGAGTTATGGCCCTTTTTATAGAAAGCTTAGAACAAAAATAAAGTCAGTTTTCATTAATACCTTTTATTTATTACTTGTTTAGAAATGTTATAATGGGTATTTATGATTAATTCTTTTGTAGAAAATTCTTTATTATTAAAATATTGTCAGGTCCGGCTAAAACTTTATTCATTATTTTCGAAATAACAAAAGATGTTGGCCTGATATCATTATTGCCCTGAAAAGTTAAATGTTTATTTGATGTCCATTAGCATTTGAAATATGGAAAATTTTACATCCTTCTCAAAGACATACATGATTTATTAGACAGACAATTATTGGGTGATCTATAAATTATACATGTAAATAGTTTAGTTTTTAGCTCGACTTTTCTATGAAAAGGGGAGCTATCCTACTCGCCCCGGCGTCGGCGTAGGCGTTGGCGTCACACCTTGGTTAAGTTTTTCGTACCACCCCACTTTATTTCAGAAGTATTACAAGTATGGCTTTGAAACTTACCATACTTGTTCACCATCATAACCTCCATCTACAGACAAGAGTACATAACTCTGTCAAGGTTTTTGACAGAATTATGGCCCTTTTTTGACTTAGAAAGTGTATTGAGCTTGGTTAAGTTTTTTGTACCACCTCACTTTATTCAAAACCATTGGAGGTATTGCTTTTGAAACTGACCATACTTGTTTACCATCACGACCTTCATCAACAGACAAGAGGACATAACTCTGTCAAGGTTTTTGACAGAATTATGCCCCTTTTTGACTTAGAAAATACATTGAATATGGGTAAAATCCCACTTATTGCCTTAACCCTTTGAGATATTGCTTTGAAACTTTTAATGCTATTTTCACATCATTACCCCCATCTGTACGCAAGAGAAGGTAACTCTGTCAAGGATTTGTTTTAAAAAATTAAGGCCTTTTATCGACTTAGAATCTTGGTTAAGTTTTTTGTACCACCTCACTTTATTTCAAAACCATTGGGAGGTATTGCTTTTTGAAACTGACCATACTTGTTTACCATCACGACCTTCATCAACAGACAAGAGGACATAACTCTGTCAAGGTTTTTGACAGAATTATGCCCCCTTTTTGACTTAGAAAAATACATTGAATATGGGTAAAATCCACTTATTGCCTTAACCCTTTGAGATATTGCTTTGAAACTTTTAATGCTATTTCACATCATTACCCCCCATCTGTACGCAAGAGAAAGGTAAACTCTGTCAAGGATTTGTTTTTTAAAAATTAAGGCCTTTATCGACTTAGAATCTTGGTTAAGTTTTTAGTACCAGTCCACTTTTTGACTGAACTGTTTGAGAATATTAATTTGAAAGTTGGAATACTTGTTTACAATCATGATTCCCAAACATTGTCCAGGAGAGGTAATTCTGTCAAAGATTTTTATTTGAATTATGGCCCTTAACTGTCAATGTTTTGTATTATAGGCAAGCACTAAAAAACTTAAAAAAATCTAAAAAAATTCATTTCCTATCCCTTGTTTCACTCTCAAAGTGGGTTTAATACTATTAAATTTATTTAAGGCTCAACTCAGTTTTTTTTTCTTTCTTACCAGCCCTCTTTTGGCTTAAACATTTCAAACTTTGCTGCAGTGTTCAAGGGTATCACACAATTCAGTAAAATAATTCTTCACTAAATATCTTAATGCTCATGGCCATTGTTCACTTTAAAAATACAGAGATTCTTGTATTGCCTTTTACTGCAAAAACTTTTTTTATTGGCAAGCAATAAAAAAGTCGAGCGCGCTGTCTTACGGACAGCTCTTTTCTTTGTCATTATTTGTTTTATATGATTCATTTGTGCTTTAACACAAACAATTCTTGAGCTTTGACCACTTTCAGCAGCTATACATACTGTACTTTTAACTTTTTTGTGTGTGTGGCAAAATCTTCACAACATTTTCCATACTTGTATATGTTTTAGCCATTGTTTTAACATAGTGTTCTGAACAAACATTGTTATGTGAAATGTTCTATACCAAGGTAAGGGGAAATTAATCTTGTACATTTAGAGCTACATTGTACTGATACATTCATAAAATTTTGTCATTTCTAGTGAATAGTAGATGATGACATCAGTAAGTCGACAATGTCATCTGTAAGTTGATATTTAAATAAGAGTTTATTAATCTAGATTCTTTAAAATTTTGAAAATATCATTGATGCAGATTTGAAATATTGTAAAGTATGGAATAACAACACTAATTTGCTAGTCCTAATTAGCAAGTAATGATGGCCGACCTGCATTTTGTGAAATTTTACCATAGGTTTTATCTCTGCTTACAGTTGACTGCTCACTTTTGTCATTTTAATCATGACATCACTAATAATAATAAAAAATCTGACAGACTTTCCAAATTCAAAGTATTAGACAAGTTTATTTTAGAATCAAATAAACTGGGGGAATCAGTTGCATATTTCAAACAATGTAATGTCCAGAGCTCTATGTACTTTACATATAATATATGTGTTACTATTATGCTATTAGAGACTATTTTATGTTACTTTGAAGGACGATTCCCCATCCCATCAACCAGACACCGAGGTAATCACTCACTATAAGCTTATTCCTTGACCAAATATGGTCGTAAGATATCTTAGCTTCGTACTGGAAAGTTGAACATTTGTCGATACAGCAAATTTTATTATCTCATACGCATTCTAAATAATTTGTGCTTTCTATTTTCTTGATTTTGCAGTAAAAGTTTAAAAAATTAACATTACGTAAGAAAATTTATGTCTATTGATAATTGATCAGAGAACTCAATTTGTCTAAATCAGACAATGTTCAACTTTCCATGATGCATCATTCCTTGTAACCTATAATTTGCATAGTCTATTTGTCCAGCTAACTTACTGTTCATTTATTAATCACTTTAGTTCACCATTATTTATTACTATATTTATCATATATTGCAATATTTTTGTTGAGCATTTTGATTTTAAACATTTGTTCCTTTCTGAAGAAGATGGTATTTGTTACTTTACTTCAGGTAGGTTGGTCAGTTGATCATTTGGTTTTCAGTTGCTCTGAGTGATCAATGAATTCTTGAAAATAACACTCAGACCTGTTGATTTCTGGACAACAATTCAACACTTGCCAAATTTCTAACAATGTGAGTGATGAAAATTGAAGACTATTTCAAATGGAGGTCACTCCTGCATCTGCCGAATGGACAGATGACCTACTTCATTGATAAAGGGTCAATAGGTCAAAGGTCATGTTATTAAAATTTTGTTAGAAGACCCTAGTGATAAAAAAAAGTTGGCCATAATTTGTTAAACTTTACAGTTCTTTCTTCCCCTGCCCAACCAGCAAAAAGTTATCATGGAGGGCATACAATAAAACATAAAAACATATTGAATATGTCCCTGAAAATTATTTGAGAAAATACATTGAAGCTAAATGGTCCTTCCCTAATATTTACTTATTGTTTCTCGTAGAACCTTCATGTATGCTCTGATTTCTTAGACAATAAGGTGTTGGTACCTGTCATTGACATTGACCTTTGAGTGGAGTTTTGGATTATAGGGTCATGGTCATTAAGGCTGAAAATATATTTACTTTTTTACCTCATTGTAAGACCAATTTTCTTTACCGCATTGTAAGA